ACTAAATTTTGCTCCAAAAAAACCTCCAAGTTAAAATTCAGTTTCCTCGCTGAGGAACTCGGCAGAGGCTACTTAGCTCCTAAGGGAAGCCAGGTCCGGGTCTGCACCCCTGGAGAGGAAAAGTGGCTGTAACCTATCCTCCGTCAAATTAGAGGGGACGAGGAGGGCAGGGCTGGGCACAGGACACAGCCCTTCCCACAGCGAGGCGCACTCAGTGGAGGAGGGTTTGCCCTTCTGCTATGACCTCCCCCATGGGCTGGGTTCACCAGGGCAGCAGCTTCATCCCTGCCTGCATTTTCTGCTCCTGTAACAACACGTGACGTCAGGGGACCCACAAGGGAAGATGAACAGCGCTCATGGCTCCAGAGGCTGGCACTGCCTCCCACTGTACCATGCTCATGAGGAGGGGCCAGACCCAAAGCTGACCCGGGCCCACCAGAGGCCCTGTGCCCTGAGCCTGCGACCCAGCATCTCCCCCAGTGCTGCTGCCCTGAAGCAGGAGGCTCCCACACGGACCCTGGGCACATCAGGGCACAGTGATGCCCAGCACACACTGGATGTACTCTCGATCCTCTCAAGGGGAAGGAAGTGCTAGGTGCCATGTACAGGCTCTGAGAATTCTTTATCTACTGAGGACCCTGGGAAATAGGAGTGAACACAGAAAGATCGCAGTGCTTTACTAAACGCAGGGTGGCTAGCGTCAATGAGGCCACTGTATGGAGTGCTGAACCATGCACACGTGCCTAATGATCATCAGGCACAGATCTGACCAACAGATTTAATTATAATGACCAGTTCCTGGTCATGTCACATCACGAGAAAACTGCTTGAAATAATCAGGCGTCTTCCCCCAATAAACACCTACAGTCAAGTAGTTTACCATGTCACAGGGAAGACCTCTAATGTACCACCACTATACACACCAAAATTAGAGATGACAGCCCTCAGAACTAGGCCTGAGTCTGTTCTGGTCTGGTACACTATGTACCTAAACATAGAATGCTTACAAAAAGAAAAAAAAATCATGTGTTGGATATAAGTAAATAAAATAAGAAATATTATCTGATGACCACAATGCAGTAAAACTAGATAATAATATAAAAGACTCAATTTTCACATACCAGAATGGCCAGAATCAGCCACTTCTGCTGGCGAACACCTGTAATCCCAGCACTCCAGGAGGCTGAGCAGGAGGATCACAAGTTTGGGTGCAGCCTCGGCAACTGAGTGAATTGGCGAGACTATCTCAAAATAAATAAATAACCGGGGACAAGGGGAGGGGACCATCACTCAGTAAGGGGTCACAAACTGCCACCTGTTCCCCACTCCCTAAGAAAAGAAAGCCAATGATCACACGAAAAGAAGCCATGAACTTCATCACAGGTCACAGTGAACACCATTACACAGCTGGTAGAGACAAAACTGGCACAGCTCAGCCTGGGACGACTCAGGAGAACGTTTCTAAGTTACAGGTCCTTTAGTGGCCCTGAAGCTTACTGGTGTGCTTAGTCAGCTGGGGAATCAATTACCTTCGAGATCTAGAGACTGGGATTTCACCACCTGGGAAGCATCAGGGACCTGGGATTAACAGAGGCCCTGGAGTTGCCAATGTGCCAGGCAGCACCAGCTTCCAGCTTTGGTGATGCAATTCCATGCCCACATGCTTAGCATGTGAGACATTTGTTCAGGATGGAGGACCTGTCACTCACTATAGAAAAAGATTAGGAAAAACCGATTCTCTATAAAGGAATTGCCCAATCAACATAAGGGAAATGCAATCTATGTGTCTCTCAACAAAAGATACAGAGGACCCATGCTTCCTCTTTCCCACACGCTGTGACTGCCTGACAGTGGTGCCTGATGGTGCAGCCGAGAACTGTGTGTGGACTGACACACACATACCACTTCAGATACCCAGAGTGATTAATACTGAGTACTCACTGTCTGCAGGATCACAACATCAGAAACAGCTCACGTCTATCCTTTAGATGCTAACAAACTGTGACATACGTGGCACTGAGACAAAGGAAAGACGGAAGTAACTAATTCCACTCACCACAGCATATACGTGTAATACACAGACATGTTATGATGTTATAATGCTACACCACTGGAAGTATCCCTTGGAAATATACCATTACTTGAAAAAAAAAAAAACCCCAGGGGCAGAAAATACATACACAACATGCTACTTGTGTGTAAAAAGAGGAAAAGAGAAAATACAAGTTCCTATCAGCTTGCATCAGGACACAAATGTAAGGAAGAGGAAATGGAAAGAGACCAGACCAAGAAGACTTCTCCAGAACTCTTCACTGGTCTCTTTCCCTAATAAATCTATATGACCACTTTCAAAGTGGTCCGCTTCCAATGCATTCTTAAAATCCCAGGCAAGTGCACTCCTATAATCCTAGCACTTGGGAGGCTGAGGCAGGAGGACCCCTGTTCAAGGCCAGCCTGGGTTGCACAGTGAGTTCAAGGTCAACCTGAACTATATAGCAAGACCTTGTATCAAAAACAAAACAAAACAAATCCTACTCAAAGAAATACAGACAAACCCCAAGCCAAATTCTTTGTCTCACACACCTGCTCCCCATCAGAGAGGCTGGGGGTGACTGTGCCAGCCACTCAGGGCCCAGGCCGCCTGCTGCAGTGGACGGAGCCTTGGGCAGCATCCGAGCTCTGCTCCTGACTCTACATTCAGACAAGGCCCACAGGACGCCTGCTTCTGGAGCAGGGGAATAGCACGGAACTCGGCAGGGGTCCCAGGGAGAGTCAAGGAGCTTCTGTAAGGGGGCCGAAGAAGGCCTCGGCTGAGCTGTTCACCAGAGCAGCCGAGGGTCCAGCATGAGCGCTGCCCTCTGAAACCATCACGCAGTAGCCCATAATATGGCGATGGCGTAATCTGATGCTGTATTTGTATAAAATTACAGAAATTACAGAAAATTGTTATCATTTTAAAAATTATGAGCCTACAGGGAAATCTCCACAGAACAGCTGCTGAGGAGTAGCACTGAGGGTGGAGGGATATGGGATGCTCACATTTTAATTAGCTGCTGTGAATAAACACTGAAAGATATTCAATATTATTTGTCCTCAGATGAATGTGAAATAAAGTGAAAGCCCTATTAATTCAGTGAAGATGTTAGATAAGAGTAAAAATAAATACTCTGTGCAAAGATCTCCGTATCACGCTGATAAATGAAAGAGCAGTTTCTGAGAAGACCCAGATGGGGCATCATGAAGCACAGTGATTCCAGAGCATGTACCAGTACAGGAGGTGAAACCATCCCTTGCCCCAGGCAGGGGCCTTCGAGGCAGGGGCAGGGAGGCCTCCAGACGCTACCTGGAGCTCCAGGCAGAGCCGTATGTGCCCATCAGACCTACTCAATTAAAACAAGTGTAAAATCGGCCCACTGGACTCTGTGCAAAGCCCTCAATCAGCATCAGTTCACTCCTAGTCTCCAGCCTCCTCCTGATAAAGCAGTTTCAGAGAGTCATCCTCTCTGTCTCTGCTTCTCTAGGGTTTCCCAACCCATTTCCACATCCAGAAGGAAATCCAGCTGACTTTAATAGAATTGGCAAGAAAAGAAAGAGTCTAGAATACACATCACAGGCATGAGCTGCAATCAACTTTGAAAAGTAAACACTTTGAAAAGTAAACACTGCTAGTCTGGGTGTGGTGGTGCACAGCTATAATCCCAGCACTCAGGAGGCTGAGGCAGGAGGATCACTGCAAGTTCCAGATCAGCCTGGGCTACATGATGAGTTCAAGACCAGCCTGGACTACATAGTGAGACCTTGTTTAAAAAAAAAAAAATGCTGGCCACAGTGATCCATATTTAATTTGCAATACTAGCATTTATGGAGGCCGAGGCAGGAGGACTACAAGTTTACCACTTGGACAATTGAGCAAGACCCTGTCTCAAAATCTAAAAATAACAAGGGGCCTGGAACACAGCTCAGAGGAAGAGTATGCCAGTTCAAACTCAGTGCTACCAAAACGAACAAAGAACAGAAAAGCCAACCTGTTCAAACTCAGGAAGGACAAAGTCAGCACACGGCATCAAATGCTAGGACAGAGCTTGCACACTGCCTCTCAGAACCAAGCTTGTTCCTCAGGAAGAGACAACAGCGTCTTCTGCCGGGCAGATGTGGAAACTGGGGAAACTCTGCAAGGTGCTGAGGGGTCAGGGAAATGCAGAGCTTCCAACCAGCAAAACCAGGCCTCAGCTCTGCTCCCCAGCTCCTGCCAGAAAGCATGGACAATGGGGTAACGTTCCTATATCACCTAGGGACCCCAGCCCAGGTCCTGGCACTGCGCAGACCGCCACACACAAACACGCCTGCCAGGGAGCCAGGAGCCGAGTGGGGCAGCCCTCCACTCCCTGCCCGGCTCCTGTTTCCTGGGATGGGCAGAGGTGGTGGGTGGCACCTAAGAATGCCGCTCAGAAGGCAGGAACATTGCCGGCCGAGGCTTCACTGCTAAGGACCAGCAGGCTGCTCTGGTCTGCATCAGCTCTTGTGGCCCAAAGGTCCAGACATCCTCCTCCAAGAACGCTCCGCTTGGCTTCCCTGTGGCCTTGTGCACTCTCGGCATCTATCCTTGGCAAGGGTGGAGGAGCCCAGGCCTCCAGCGCCAAGGTGACCAGCATGGTCATACTCAGCACCTGCGATAGGGGCAAGCATTCTCCATGATTTCAAAAAGTAGTCAGAGTCCACCGACAGAGCAGCAGCCAGGCAGTCAATACTGCTGAGACTCACCTGGTGTTCCATACAGACAAAGGTACAAGTTAACATTTTTCCCCTTTAAAGAAGTCATTGTTTTTAGCATCACCCATTCACAGGATACAAACTCAACTATGGAGTCACTGATTCCTGGAACAGTCAACAGGAAACACGAACAGCTTCTACTCTGGCAGCTCAAATGCCAGTCTTCCAGAATCTCTATTCTCCACATCTTATAGAGGAAAAACAAGACCAAGAGGTGTGAAGTCCGGTACCTGGTGAAGATCGGGTTGTGCTCTGTCATGGCCACAAGCAACTTCAGTGCGTAGGCAGGCACGGGGTCAGGTTCGGTGAGGATGTGCTCGTACCTGCAGGAACACAGACATCAGAATGCTCAGAAACGCTCCTCCCTGGACAGCAGGAACCACAGGCCATAGGACAGACATCTGGACACTCCGGAAGAGCTGCAGGACCTTAAAGGCTCCCTAAGCCAGAAAGTTTCCTCAGCAACTCCTGCTACACAGTGATCACGCTGACAGGCTACCGTGAGGAGGTCCTGAGACAACCACAGGAAATGATCACCAAGGGTCTTTATTAATTTTCTTGTTGCTGGGACAAAATACCTGACACCCAAAGTTGAAGGAAGAAAGATCTAATTAGTTCACAGTCTGTAGAGGTTTCAGTCCATAATTGGCTGGCTCTCAGGCAGGGAAGCACATGGCAGAGGGGCAACACTTCATGGTGGCAGAAGACAGCAAAAACAACAGGAGATAAGGGGAAAGAAAACCACTTTCCCTCCTTTATGCTGTATGCTGGTTACCCGCCCAAGGGTGGACACAGCACTCACGTTCTTAATTCCAGCACTGGAGCATAAATCAATCACAAACTCTAGTAGCCCCTCAACTCCATGACTGCATAAGGCTTTGGGGGAGACTTCTGCACACAAGTCATAACACCTAGAAAGCATGAGACCATCAACATTCACATCTGGGTGGGGAACTCCGGGAGCCCAGCACATAAGTCTACATATACGGAAGATGCAGCAGAGCAACCTAGAAAGGACACTCTCAGCTCAGTCACAGGGGACAAGGATGTGAGCAAACGAATAGAGGATGCCACCTGCTGTATCCTCACATACTCCAGAGTGTACACATGTGTCCACAAAGCTCCAAGGGTTGGGCTGGGGTCTGAGCATCCAGGTCCCTGCCAGCTGCAAGCCTGCTACAGTGCCGCTTTCTGCACAGCCTTCTAACCGTGAGTGCTTTAAAATCCCTACAGAGTAAAACTCAGTCTGCTCCAAGTCTCCCCAACAACACTCCTTCTGTTCCCCGCAAGCTCTGCCAGGTGGAGGCTGCTGTGTAGGCCACATCTCGCCTGCTGCAGGTCAGCACCCTTGTATTGTTTGGTTGACTCTGCAGGCCTGGGGCCAGTCGTCTGAGCATCTCTTGGGAGGATAACAGTGTGCAATATAGAAACTATGGGGGATTTTCTTCTGTCATGTTTTTGAAATATAATATTGTTCTCACTGCTTCAACCAAACAATACAAGCGTTCAGAAAAGCGTTGCTTTTTCTCCATCAGTTGCTCTCAACTCAGCCTGCCCTCCTAACCAGCTGGTTACTCACAGAGGCAGAGGGGTGGGGTGGGGCAGGGCTGGTGATTCTCAGCCCTCCTGCCAGGAGGCTTGGTGGGGTGGGGTGCTGACTTCTCTTCCTGGGCCCTGCATGACCTCACAGCTTGCCAAAAAGGCTGGCCAGTTGGCTTGTTGGTTGGCTCCTTCCAACCCCAGTATGGCCAATTCTCGGGATGCACTATCTAGCTTTTCTCTTTGTGATAAACTAACATTTGATATGAATTTTCTTTAAAGTGGAAAGTGCGGCAGATTAAAATATTATCTATTCCTTTCTCTAAATATTCTTGTGAAATACAAAGCTCTTCTCCTGGCTCGGGGTTCTCAGAATATGCTCAGGTCTCAAGGTTTGCTAGAGGACTCATAGAAATCTATTATACACTAATTATGGTGCACAAATGTGAAAGGACATCGATTAAAATCAGCAAGGGCAGAGGCTGCATCCAGGAGAGGCCAGGCAGGAGCTTGCAGGGGACCCAGGGGATGGGGGGGGAGTGAGGGTGTCCAGAGGCCAGACAAATGTTGGTCCCTACAGCAACCATGCACAGTGCTGTCCCTTAGAGCAGCTTACCAGCCTCAGCATCTGCAGCCCTAGAGGGCCAGCTCTGTTCCTGGCCCGAGGTTCATACCATCATCACTGTCTGAATGTCCCATCCTGTGCCTCCAGGCCAGGCACACACACAGCCCAAAGTGACACGTGGGGCCGGGGCAGGGCCAGTGCCTTGAGATGCCCAGGGTTCAGACACACTGAACCTCTATGCCAATGAACCTTTTGCCTGGCACATCCTGAATAGGGAAACTGAGGCACTGCCATTGAAGGCAATGGGAGAAGAATGTCCTCATCCTTTCTCTCTGCCAGCATTTGGAAAGCGTGGGCTTAGGAGTCTCTTGGGGAAACAAGGGCAAGCACCTCCTTATGAGCCAACAGCCACCCTGGGGACCCCACCAGGACCTTCTGAAGGACCTCGGGAAGAGGGCACAGCCAGCATGCAGTGATCTCTTTATTCAAAGGCTCATATAGAAAGCACAAGAGAAAATGCTTAGAAACATAATAGGAAACACCCTCAACAGGACTGCAAAGTATTTTTTAAAAACAGGCTTAACAAAGAGCACATGGCATCTACACTAAGGAAGAAGGCACCCCTAAACAATGACTGCACTGCAAGGAAGCAGGTGGAGGCCGTGAGCCAGGAGGAAGGCAGAGCCATGTGGCATGCAGAACCCTCCAAGGCGCACTCCTCCGCTTTCCCCTCGCGGGGAAAAGGTCGCATAGGTCTCATAATGAGCAGGTTCACATAGAGCGCGCTCAGTTTAAGTCAGAGACAGCTCTGAACAGGCAGCAGGCTCTTGCCACAAGCACACTGTGATTCTGTCCACTCATCTTCTAGAGAGACACATGGCAGCTACACTGATGGCAGGTAGATGCCAAGCTGGAGCCTCCAGGCTGGGCACCAGCCCTGCAAATGGATGGATGGATGGATGGATGGGAAGCCTCAGTGATGGGAACTGCCCAGGAGGCAAACAGAAGTGATGCAGTGGGGAGTAAAACTCAGGAAGATCCTGCCAAATGAGAAGTAAAACATGATGCAAAGACTGAAACCACCATCAAGGATGGGATGGGCCCGAAGGTGCACATGAGAAGCAGAAGGACTGAAGGTGACGCCTGCCCAGGCAAGAAGGAGAAGCTCGGGGTGGGCCAGGCAGAGCCTTGAGATAGCAAATTAAACAGCGAGGTGAAATTTACCTCATCTGACAACAAACAATGAACAGACAGACACACACTCCTTAGCACAACAGCAAACATGAACTGAAGGACAAAAGATTTATAAGGTCTTTAAAAATTAAATATTTGACAATGGTAAAACCACTATATACAAACAATGAGGGAAAAATTATTTCCAAAATATTGGCAAACTAAGTGACTCTCACCAAGAATGGAGAAACCATATGATGAAGTAGGAAGATAATAACCTGGAGTGATCGGCAAAGAGCAAAACAGAGTCAGGTGGCCAGGCAGAGACAGCCAGCATCGTGCCCCATGGCGCAGGGTGCAGAGCTAGGGCTGCCGGGGAAGGAATGCAGAGCAGGAGGCAGAGACAGAGGACTAGGCATGATGAGGAGAGGCCGGCGCACAGCAAAGGCCTTCAGGGAAAGCCGAGCTCCCAGAAAACTGAGGTGCTTTGAGGAGAGGCTGTGAAAATGGGTAGGTAACACCCTCTTGCCAGTGCTTCTAACCTGGTCCCTTCCAGAATCTGAACCAGGCAACATCCTGAATTGACGCCTTTAAAATATTTAAAAGAGAGTGTACAGTAAATAAACAGTATAGGCTGAGTTCTGTGATTCTCTGGTACTTTACATGGGTAAATATTTACATCCATAGTTAATTGAGTGCCTAAGTGCAGAGAGAAATGGACAGTTCTGAGGGAAGATCAACAAAGATATATTTCACAGAGATGCTTTTAAATAAGAGAAACACAAGCACAACCTCAAAACACAAGCACGGCTTCAAAACTGTTAAATATAGTTTAGGACATAAGCCCTGTTCAGGCCTCTTCAATCAGACCAATAGCAAAGTTTCATTGTAAAACAAGATACACTCAAGAGTAACAAAATACACACAAAAAACCCAGTGGCTGAATCACTCTGACTGGGAACCATGACAAGGACCTGTGTTCCATTACTAACTCCCAAATCACCAGCACAGCACCCTCAGGGCGAGGGAGACCAAGAAGCAGCATGGTGTCATCCTGCACCACACCACAGCCTCTTGGGGACAGCCTTCCCTGGGCAGCCATGCAACCTAGCAGCAAGCTGCCACTAACAGAACCCACCCACAACTCCAATTTCTAAAAGGAAACACACTCCTAATCTGCATAGAATGTATTCCTCGTCGGGTCTACAAAACAGATCTAACAGCTGATGGAGTCATTACAGCCCTGATGATTTTACAGGTCGCAAGAGAGTCATAAAAGAAAGTCTGTGCACTCTTTCCCAGGAGAGAAATGCCATACAGTCGGAAAGACACAGTGAGCACACTCACATCAGCACGATCGCTTTTCAACACAAAACAAACCATGAGACTAAAATGCCACACGTTCATGAAATGGTCGCAGTCCAGCAAAGGCAAACTGGCTTTTCCCATGACTCGGGTGTCACCTGCCACGGCCCCCGACAACTCCACCTAAGACACAGCAGTGCCTGCTATTCCCTGCCACCATCATTCCCTGCACAATGGTCTCTGTTTCTTCTTCTGCAGGACTCAGATCAGACAAAGGCCCCACACGTTTATGTGGTTACTACTGGGCCTCGCCCTAGAGCACACACTCCACCACCACCCCCAAGGGCAGAGCAGCCGAGCTGTCCACATGGCACCTGGCCGGCACCAGGACGTCACCAGGCAATGCCTCTACTAAATGAACTGGGAAAGAAAGGAGGAGGAGAGGCAGAGCAGGAGAGAGGGAGCTCCTAACCTGTGACCCAGCACCCACCAGAACACAGGCGTCCTGCACCCAGCAGGTGATGTCTCCCAGAGCCCTGTAAGGTGAAAGCAAGCTGAAAACGACAGACCCCACTGGCCACTGACCACCCTGCTGCATGGCAGTGAAAGCGGCTAGCAAAACAGCACTGATGGTATCGGTGTCCAGGCCTTTCCTGGGCTGGGATCCCCACATGAGCATCTCGTGCTTGTGTGTCAATGACTGTGCGGTAAAGTGCACGCTGCTTTCACTGCCCTGCGTCA